AAAAATTGGTTTTGTTTAATTTATTGTAAATGTAGCAGGAAGGTAACTGACATTTTGTAGATTAGGCGGGCATTCAAAGAGTTGTTGTTGGAATCAGTCATCCTTTGCAACATCTCAGAGGCAATTCCATACGTGCCTTAAGGGGTCCAGGTTTGCATGTTGAGGTTCTGGAGGAGGATATACAAAGTCAGATTGTGGAGGTATAAATCTAACTGCTTTATAGGCATGCCGCATGGGTTATCCTCTTTTGTTTTTTTCCTTATCTATGTTTTAGTTCATGATCCACTTGATATCCTTGAATATGGTTAGTTAAGAAAATTTGGCTTTTGCTTATATAAATTTGTCTCCTTTATATCCACTTGATATCCTTCATGATCCACATGATCCACTTCCCTATGCAATGCTATTCTGGGGAATGGATATGATTATGTCATAGAGCTTGTGTATTAGACTAGGTATAATTATTTAAATTTGTATTTTATAATGAATGGGTGCTGGAATCACCAGGTAGGAATGTCTGCCTGTCAGGAGTATGACTTCTTGCTAACAGGCTTAAAAATAATTCATCCTTTTTCATTAAAAACTATAGAAATTTCTGGAAAGATTATATGAAGCCTAAAATTGCGAATACACACATAAAGCTAGTCATGGATTATGAGGTGCACAGAAGTTGACAAGTGTATGAGAAGTTAGTGATAGATGACTCTGTTCTTGTATTATTTTGAGTGTAATGTGGAATGTATGGAGAAGGCAACCTAAACCAAGATTCTGCTAGATGAAACAGGAACCGTGGAATGTGGGTCATAGATAGATGCCCTTTATCATTTTTTGATTGCCTTTATTGGGTTCTCAGTTAACTTTTGCTTGTTTATAGGCCTTATAACTTGATTATGTAATATGTAGTCATGTTGCTTTTCAAAATTAGTGTTGACTTCCACACTACTTGTAATGTACAGGGAATATTCTGTTACAGGAAGCTCAGGAAGCTCAGAAATCATGCCTTCTCGTCAATCTGCCTTTAATTCACAGAGCTATCTCTCGGGTTCCATTTTATGTGCTTATTCTTAAGTATGCTATCACCCTTGATGGTGTGTATTGTGTATTTTCTAATCCCATATTTCTTTAAAACTTTATATTTTTATTTAGAATATAACTGTACTTATGCAAGTGGCAAAAAAAGTAGTTAAGACTAAGAATCCTTGCTGATAGCCTGATAGACTTTGTTGTGTGTTCACAGGAAAAATTGCTGCTGGTAGTGGACATGCAGCATGGATAAGCAGCAAATTGTATAGGAATAGGGTCTTTGAACTACGGGGCAGAAGCAATGCAAGTATAGTGGGAGGAAATACTGTATGCAGGGACAGTAAGTATATCAGTGATCATGTAATTCTTTTTTTGGGGTGATATAGTGATAATTATGATCTATAAATTTTTATTTATTTTTCTATTTTTTCTTTTCACTTATATCCACGATTAACTGCAAGGCATGGAGATGGGCATATGCCCATTCAGATTGTAATGACACAGACTATTGATCTTCCAGAGGAAGCAAATCTATGGGACATGTCTGAGGTGTCTACTATAGTTGTAACACAAAGAGGAGCTAGGAGGAGTTTCCAGAAATTGCTTGCATCTAAAGGAGTTGAAGTAGTGGAGTTTGACATCTTAAATCCCAGAGAAGTTATGGAATATTTTCATGATTGGGGCTACCTATCTATCTTATGGGAGTGTGGAGGGACTCTGGCTGCATCTGCCATTTCATCTGGCGCAATACACAAGGTTATTGTTATCTTTTTCATTCTTCTATGCACTGGCTCCTCTCTGATGAATAGATTTCAAAAGAAGTTTGGTATGATAGTTCAGGATTATCTTTGACCTCTTCATGAATAGATATAATAAATTTAACGTGGTATTCTTTCCAGAACTCAGTTTACCATTGTCAGGCTTATTCACATGACTCTCATCTTTAATTTCTAGTGGATGTAAGTTGATTGAAATTGGAGCTTAAGTCTATGGAAATTGAGAAGAAAAATTCAAACGTTATTACTGTTGTCTCTCCATCCCTGGTTCATGTAGATCTGGCATTTGCATGCATAGGTAGTTTTTTCTTGTTAGTTGTATGATTCTATTGAATAATTTTTCTAAGCTATTAAATTTACAGTACTATGACTCATTAATCTTGGTTATATTGGGACAACTGTGGGAAAACAGGGATAATTTTCAATATTAGAATTGTTTGTAAAGAAAGACAGTTCTTTGAGCTTTAAGAATAAGAAGATGGCTGACTGTTGCTTATCTTGGTATTTGTGGTCTGTACAGAGATGGAAATGTCATGAATCTTTATTTTAATTTTCTAGCAATAAACTCTTGTTTGATTTCTGATTCTTTATGCTGCAGTTTAGCTCTGCTTATGAGTCACAGCAACTATCTTGATTTGTTTAAGGGAAGAGTTAGTGTTTTGCAACAGTGTTGCTTTAAAATACTAAATTTGAAGCGTCTGCTTTTTCATATACTTTTTCAAATAGTGACTGTGAGAGTGTGATTTGTTTGGTTGCTGTGCACATTTAGCAATAGAGTAGAAATTAGTTTTGTCTTGTAATGTTTAGATTGAGGTAATTGGACTGCTATAATGTCTAACAATACCTCGTGATATTAGAAATATTAACTAGCAAATAGAAGATTTAAAATCTGAATTACATCTCTCTCTATTGTTGTTTTTCATTATTTAACTTGGCTTGTGTTTCCTTTATATCTGTGTGCAGTGGTACGAGGATTAAGACCCGCAAACAGAATGTTGCTGCTCCCCTGGACCCTGCAGCATTTGCTGATGCAGTGGTCCAGATTTATCTGGATAATGCTGGTGATCTGGTAAATTTCTACAGCGGTGTGAATTTCAATTTCAACCCTTGTTGTTTTGGTTAAAATAAACTCTGACCCCCACCTCCTTAAGATAATGTTATTAATACTTTTATGTTTCTTAGTGTTTCACTTTGCTTGAATGGGAACTCCCATTCAGGTTCCTGCTGTAGCCAACAGGTGGCACCCAGTCCCAGTCTCCATTCATTCTCTACAGTTGTGTATTTCTTCTTAGTTTCTAAGAGATAGGGAGGAGGAGAAAAGTGAAAGGAATTTCTTTTTGAAAATCTAAATTAATTTGAAATAAGGGGGTATTGTCATCACAGAAAAAAAATATTTTAGTGTCAATGAATTTGTCTATCAAGTTAAAGCATAAGGTGGTTAAGTGTCCAAAAATCAAATCTCATGTCTGAGTGTGATTTTTACCCAAACCAAAAGTGTAACAATTGAATATACTCGTTACAACGTGCATCTGACATCTCATATAGGTTTTAGCTTTTTTATCCCTCTTGGTGGTTATCTTACTAACTCATCTGACCGAACATTTTCTTCATGCAGGAACTTGTTTGCAAGAACCTCGAGTCTTCAGGCCTTAACTTCTCACGCTATGGTTACACCTTCTTTGAGGCAAGTTTCTTGTTTCTTTATGGAACTCTAACTTTTAGATATCTTCCATTTTAAAACAGATTTTTGATTGTTGTTCAGTAATTAGATTTTGATAGTTTGTTGGATCTTTAAGATCATCTGGAGAGTATGTTTTGCTTTATTTATGGAGAGAAGGATATGGGATTTTTTCCCACCTCTATGGCATAATTTCGAACTTCACTGGTGGTTGATGGATTGATCTTGAGTTAATTAGCTTGATATGGAAGCATACAAATATGGTTAGCAGAAGGTAATAACAATGACAGACTTCTTCCTTTTTCTCTTGTAACTTGTAAGAGACTAGTTATTATGCCATTGCTTCAAATCTGCCTATTGGCTCAAGTATGAATGAGATTGTTTGGTCTTCCAAATTTTTTTTAGCCAGCTATCATTAGTATTTGCAAAAGTCTGAAGTTAATTAATCCAGTAAAAATCATGCCAAAGCAAAGGTGTGGCTGGAGTTTGGTGACCTTATGAAGTTTTATGTATTGTGTTGTTCCAATTGCTTGCTTTCATCCTTTGTTTCTGGGAACACTGACTTACGA